CCTATCAGCAAACATCATTGTTAAGGATAATACTTATAATACTGATAATGGACAGTCTAGTTCGGCTAAAACATCCGCAGTTTCGTTGTATCTAGAACCATTATAATGCCAGTTCATTTATTAGTAATTATGTTCATATTTAAATACATATATCATCTGAAAAAGCCGTTGCAATCCTGACTACTTCCAGCAAAACCATAATCGACTAGTCTCGGGGAGTAGTATCTCTCGCTGACTAACGTTTGGAAATAATTTTTCTGTTCTTGTACGGGATGGCCACTTGTCGTAATCCTCAGGGAACACAAGTAAAAAATGAATGAATCATCAATCCAATCGACCCAACCACAATCGCATGAATCACCGACAAACGACCTCTCACGCATCATAACACTCACCATTGGCGCAACAGACAGCATCAAGCAAATAACATGAAATATCCGTGGTATTGGGAGCGAAATTCTGGCTCATGAAATAACACAAGGTAACGCTGGGACTTAAAGCCATTACATTTTACTGCAGGCGCTTGTTTAAGCCCATTTTATTAGTCATTATATTGATTACGGCCATCAGACATCATTAATCTCTGTATTCTGCACTTGCACGTGATATCGCAGATGACGGTGACAACAATAACAAAACGATAATTACGGTCAATGGACGTATTTACGTAGAAAATAATTCTAATTATTTACAAGTCAACTCAGTACCGAAACTGAGATGAGAAAGTTTGAAGACACAAAGTATTTCGCTCCATGGTTAAACGCACACGAACAGGTACACGTGTCTTTAACCACTGAATCGAAAGACCCTCTGATTTGAATTGTTTTGACCAATTATTAATGAAGCAAAAATAGCGAAAACAAAAAAACATCAGATGAAACAATTACTTACTAACTTAATTATTATACATACCACAGCTACAGCATATGCTTCACCACACCGCTACCAATTCAGGTGCTACGCTGCACTGCAGAAGAGCAGCGATTTCATATAAGCTGCTTCAAAACATATTGTAACGCTGTGTGCCATCTGCAGGTAAATTTTAAAAAGCCGATGGCGCAAATTAAAATTACCGTATTATTGTTATGCACATAACTTTTCAGCAAATTCGACGTCGCGCCACCGACAGGAACATATGCACTTAAAAATTGTATTTGAGCATAAGGTACAAGGTGACGTAGTTTTTTGTAGTAAATTCTGCAGGAGTATGCTGGTTAGCGATGCTATGAACAAATTTCGAAAATTCGCTAAAGTTCTCGTCGTTGTCAAAATATAAATAGTATCAAAACATCGGTTATCAGTACAGCCAGAAAGCCGATGTTAAAATCTGAAATTTGCTGTCGATATTTCTTTCACATAACGTTGACATTAGTCGAGCAAGTCAGTCAGGTAACAAACGGTTACACTGAAATTTGCGAATATAGTTTCACATAATCGTTAATATAGTTCACCATGTATGAAAAGTAATTCCTACATCGGGAGTTGGCAGTTGCTCCTATCTTAATAGTGAATATGAATCATGGTTATGAGGAAGCAGTTCAGTGTGTTTTAGCGTAAAACTTTGATATACACCCTATACTTGCAATACACCGCAGCATGCGGAAGTTCGATTATGAGGATCCGATGTGCATTTCCTCTTAGCTGTTGGAATGTTAGTGGAGGGGGGAGGGAGGGTGACTTTGACGCAAAATGCTTGGTGTAAGAAAACTTGAAGACAAAATGCGCATCAAACGCAAAGGCATCAAATATCACTACTAAGACGCCATTCCTATACTCCAATTCCGCGATGGTGGACTGAAATAGCGCTAGCGCGACATCTACTTAGTTGTCTGGAGGTCCTGCGGTCTTCCGCTATTTTTTCCAATCTTCGAGATCGGAAGATCTCAAGCAATATTCAAGTCCTCCATTTTCTTCCGTTAAATGTGCTTGGAGAGAAGCGAATATGCCATCTTCCTGATACCATCTTCCTTTTCATTCTTCTCCCCTTCTCCAGCAAACTCTTTGTCTTTCGTCTTTGTCTTTGATTGTATCAGATCATTCCCTTCGATGTCTAAAGATTGCACCCTAACTGACTTTACGTAGCAACATAGTTTCTACGGCGAACTTTCGAAACGTTACCACTGGTACCTTTCAGGCTCAAACCCACGCTGGGAATGTATCGCCTCACCGAATAAATGCGGTCGCTGCCTTCGATTTAACCATCTGCAGTGCCTCCTCTCAACCTTTTACTACATACAACTTGCACCAGTCTGTGGCCTTTTCGAGTGCTGAATGGATGTCTCCCATGATGTGGCGTTTATTGGATAGGACTAAATCGATCTTCCTTTTCGTTGTGACATTGACAGTGATCCATTTCCATTTCTCGTTAATTTTCTTCTTGAACCAAGTGTTGCCAGTGTACAGCTATTTCGATTCTATCATAGTCAACAGTCTTCTCCTGGTTAATTTTGCTTTCCGCGGGTGCACCTTCTGACAAACATTTTGTCAGTCCTCCATCGTCGGACTTTGGCGTTTAAGTCTGCAAGGATAAGGGCTAAAGATGATTATGGAACAACGGGTATTGCAGTTCTTGAAAAAATTTATGAACTTCCACCTAATCGGCTGTACTTGTGGAAGCACTGGTTTGGAATATTTTCAAGGTGCAGTTATTGTTAAGTTATAAATACGACATGTCCGGTCTTGGTAACTTCCCACTGCAGGACGTGAATCCATAGGACCAGACTTTGCTGACCACAAATCCATCTTCTATGTTCTTCACGCCATTTCCTTTTCCTAATCAAATCGAACTGCAGTCTTTCTGGATGCCTTTAATGCCCTTTCGACATCTTGTCTCGCAAAGGCTAAAGGACTTCGCGGGCCATCCCTGACGTTTTTTCCAGAAGTTGGCTTGACGATTCTTTCCTCGTCAGTGTTCTGCAATTTTAAGAGCAAACGACGAGAGAAGACCATTTCCTTTTATCAGGCAGTTACCTTTTATCTACGATTCTTATCAACCTCGTGCCAGTCGAACGGTTATACCAAACCCAGCTCATGAAACGGGTAAAGAAACACACAGCGTAATGAGGCTCATTCATTCGAGTTTTCGTGGTGTATTAAGTTATGTCATCCATTCATAAGGCTGACGTGGCTCAGGGAATTTCATGCATCTGAGTCATTCATTCAGTCCGGTTGTTCATCGAAGTTCTTTTGGAGAGTTGTTCATCTTTTGGTCTTTGACGAATCATCTGCAACCGAATGGCAGCGATAACATTCGCGGCGCTTTTTCTTCAGAGGAGAGGGTCACTTTCGCCTTGCCATGACACTTTCATAGGATATTCTAACTTTTTCTCAGACGATCGAACTAGTTAAAACTAAACCCAGCCCGCCATGGGCTCCTGCACTGCCTCTTCGCAACCACTTGACGCAGCTAACCTCCGCAAGTCGAGGTCGTTCCCATATCCGCATCTCAGAAACGGTATAGATAACCAACAGTTAAGTAGACGTTGTTATCATTTTAATCTATAGAAAACATGGCTTCAACAGAGATGTTTCGTAGATTTGTACTTAACAGTTAGAAATGGATTTTCAGATTGATGTGAGGTATTGTCTAGTGCCACTGCAAAAATCCTACTTCC